CTGCCTCCGTCCCGCCTTTCAGCCGCGTGGGCGGGCGGCGAGGGCGGCGAGAGCGCCCCCGGCCCCTTACTCAGTCGCTCCAGCGGCCCCGCCGCGCCGGCCGCTTTCTCGTCTTCTAGGAACCTCCTGCGCTTTTCTACGCGGGGGCGGCCGTTATGGTCCCCTCCGGCGATGAGCTCTCTGCATCTGCGGAGCCCCAGGGCCACGCCTGGGACCTTCGGGATGAGCTGGGCTTGCCGGCCGTGCCGGCTGGGGGTGATGGGCGTTGCAGTCCAGTGCCGCTGAAGGGTGCCAGTTAGGACAGGACTGTCCGACGCGCACCTTTTCCGCGCAGAGTCCAGGCCCGCCTGTTCTGGCCTGCTTGGAAGTGGATCTCAGCAGCAGAGAAGACGGGCGGGGGACGATGGGTCTGCACCCTTCTCTGGGAAGCGTGAAATGCCGAGAGCCCAAGGAAGGAAAGGAGCGCCCTTGGAGGGGGCAAAGGCAGGTTCGCTGTACGAGCAATATTACTTCAGATACCCTGGGAACTCATTAGCTCTTCATTAAGCGCTTGCTATAAACATACGTGTGGATGTGTAATTTATGTAATGACCCGGAGAGTCTCATTTCCGCAATCATGTTTGCAAAGTTGGGTGACTCTGGTGCAAGTAAGTTGTTGATTAAAAATCATCAATTGATGTGGGGGGGGGGAGGAAGCCAATAAAGACAAGGCTCAGCAGCCCTTTATGGCCCCCCCTGGGGAATCCTCAATGTTTCCTCCTCTGGCTGCTTAAATGTCCCTTGGAGAGCCACTGCAGTGGGGGGGGGGGGAATTTCCAGCCAAGAGAAGATGAAGACCCTCTTGCCCGCATCCTTTCCAGGCTGGGGGGCAGGGCATCACCCATCCCCCCCCTCCCCATCCGCACCCGAGAGGGCTGGGTGGCAATGGCTGCTGCACGCTTGAAGGGAGGCTCAGCCGGGGGGCAGGTTTGGCTCTTGGAACGCCTGTCCCCACATTCTCCCCCCCAGAGGCTTCTCCCTGGGACTGTTTGTCCAGAGGGGCTCTTCTGATGCCCTCCCAGTTGGGCCTTCGCCCCTCACCAGCACTCCCTCCTCTGCCACCCACCCCCCAAGTAGCACCACCCTCGGCTTAGTCGGTCCCTTGAACAGTTCCCTGACCCCAGACGGTCTGCATCCTCCAGCCGCCAGGCCCCGTCTCAGCCCCAAGCTGCTCTTGGGCCCCACTGGGGGTCTCTCGAGAGCTTCAACTAGCACCCTGGGGCTCCCTGGCCCCAGGGGGGGAATCAGCCGTGGCAAAGGCTGCCTTGGTTTGGAACTTCTTTTAAAACTGCCTCGTGGAAGCAATAGGCTAATGAATTTGCGGGACAGAAATGCAACAAAGGCGGTGACTTTCCACCCTGGCCTTCACCAACCTGGGCCCTCCAAAAACGCTGGACTTCATATCCATAATCCTGGTCCAATTTTGAGCTCATGAGATCTCGCACACCTGAGAGCACCCCTTTCCTGCTTCTCCCTGATCCTAGGGCCATCAGCCCAGGAGGGTTTGCTGGGTTCCCGGGGGCCAGGGGAGCCGTCTGGGCAAGCCTGTCCCTGCGCCATTTGTAGTCTGGAAGGACAAGTGGGGAGGGAGGGTGGCCCGCTTACTCCACAAGGAGCGGCTCAAAGCCCCCCTCACTACCAGCACTCTGTCTTGGGAGAAAGCTGGGGCATCTTCCAGGAAAGGCTCCTGAGGCTGAGCATCGCTGTGCCCAGGCTGGCCAAGCGGTTGCCATCCGCAAAGAGTGCAAGCGGGCATCCTCTTCCTGCCGGGGGGACGGGACAGTGAGCCACGCTGAGGAAACAGTTTTCCCAGCCCCAGGAAAAGGGGAATGGAGCCAGTTTGGTCTCGTGGTGAAGGCACCAGGCTAGAAGGCAGGAAACGGTGAGTTCTAGTCCCACCTAGGCATGAAAAAACAGCTGGGTGACTTTGGGCCAGTCCCTCTCTCTCCTTGCAGGGTGGTTGTTGTGGGGAAAACAGGAGGAGGAAGGAGTATCAGGTATGTTCACTGCCTTGAGATACTTATAAAAATAAGAAAGGCAGGGGAAAAAAAATAATCTAAAAAAAAAAAAGGGCTGGTGGGGGTCAGTCGGGGTGCTGGGCCAAGACTGGAGAAACCCAAGTGGAAATTCATCTGGGAGACTCCCCAGGGCCGGGCCAGCTCACCCCACAGGGTGGTGGTTGTGGGACAAAGTTGGAGGAGGGAGTGCTTTGCATTCTGCTTTGAGCTCCTAAAGGAACGGATGCGGAGGGATAAAGATCCGAGCAAGCAAAGAGCAAATCAGTCAAGGGAGCATTAAAGGGCAAGGCTGCTGGGCTACGTTCGGCTCGGTGAAGGGCACGCGATTGACTGGCCGAGATGGTGTCCCATGCTGTGGCGTGCTGACACAAGCCCTGTTTGTTAAGGCGGTTGCTACATGGAGCCTTCAAGTTCAGGAGCAGTTCACCTGTGAATCTCTGTTACTAAGGTCATCTGAGAGGCAGAGTTGGGGGGTTTCCATCAAGGCACTTAGTTGGATCATCCGGACAATGGGACATGAGCCAGACCGTTGCCCTGCCTGAGCCTCCCCATGTACCGTGTGCGCGAGAGGTCATTGAAGACACTGGCCTTGCAGAACGTTCCCGGCGAGCCTTTTCCGCAGGGCAGGGCCCATTCCGAATGCAGCCTCCAGCAGCTGATTTTTGGCTACAGCACTTCCCTGCCCTAGTTCTTCCTTTCCTGTCTGAGGATGGGATGCTGGCGGGGTGCAGCGAATCTCCACGATGCCCCCCTAAGAAGGAAAGGGCCACTTTCAAATCTCAGGGATTATTTCTCCCAAAGGAGGCACTGAAATTGTGACTAAGAGAAAAATGCTCTTTATTCACAGTCCCCACAAAATGGAGAATTCCAAACTTGGGCTCGAGGCACATCAAAGAAGCTGGTGAATCTCCCGTTCAAATCCACCATTTGGCGCCTTTCCTGGCATCCGAGCTCGTCCGTCCACTCAGCAAGAAGGAGAGCCGCTGGGCTGGGCGGTGCTGGGGCTGTTCTGTTGGACGGCCTGTCAGACGCTCGGCGGGGGGGGGGGTGGTGTGGGTTGTGTTGTGTGGGGGGGCGTGAGAGAGGCTGGGTGGGGGGGGGGGTGAGCATAAGCAAGAGAGCGAGTGAGAGAGCCCCC